GCGAGTTATTTTTTTTATTCTTTCCTGTAATAAAACAACAAAAAGTAGTTACCGCGTTTTCATATACTGTATAACTTTTTTGTCAGCGTTTTCCCAAATTTCTTCCCTGTACAGAGTCGTATTTAATTTGTATTACATGACTTATTATATGTTCAAAAATTACTTTCATGCACGTTTAACCTCATAATTTAGGGTGTGTTTAAAGTTCAAATATTCAAAAGTAATCGTCGCTAGATACAACTCGGGAAGTAGGGACATTGCATAATTAACTCCATTTCAGTGTATATTTTTTCAAAATTTTCATGTTTATCCGTTTTAGAAATCCATTTGATTGTTTGTTTTCTGAATTCCGCGTAAAGCTACTCGAGGGCTCTCTGTGCTTAGCCGTCCATAATTTTGAAGTGATAGACCAGAGGGATGGCAGTTAGTCAACACCACCCATCACCAACTCATGAGCTACTCTTTATCAACTAATAGTGGGATTGACCCTCACACGGCTGAAAGAGCTAGCATGTTCGGTGAGGGGATTCGAACTTGCGACCAACAGACTGCGAGTCAAGCACCATCTCCACCAGGTTATGCCAGGCCGTAAATCTATTAGAAATTCGTGAACGTTTTTAACTTTGTTAACCGAAAGATTAGAAAATAAGAGAATTAAGTATACATAGAACATCTAAATGCCCGTTTGTTAAACAGACTCAACATTTCATTCTTCGACTTGTGACAGACTCCGTGGTATGTTGTAAAAGAAATAAAAGAGGTTATTTCTGTTTAACTCGATAACATGTTTTATGATAAACATTTCGAATTATAAAGTATTTTTTAAATACCATCAACTATTTTAAAAACCCCTATTTGCTAAACTAAGTTAGTAAATCATTAATCCTAAACGATTTTTCTAAAACCTTTTCATAATTTGTAAGTACTTCTCTGCATAAGTTCCTAAATTCTTTCCATACACATCTTTTTTTTGTTTATTTTTTATTAGTCCGGTTCCGTCAGCAAAATTATACGGTTGTGTCTTAAAAAGTGCTCCTCTGTGACTCAGCAGCAAGTCTAGGGCTTATAACGCTAAAAATTAGGTTTCGATACCAGCTGTGGGCAGATCACAGATAGCCCATTGTGTAGCTTTACGCTTAACATCAAACAAATCAAACTTAAAGAAGTGCCCCCCCCCAGATGGCTCAGTAATAAATTTGCGGACTTATAACGCTAAAAAACAGGTTTCGATACTCGCACTGGGCATAGCACAGATAATTCATTGTATAGCTTCGCCCTTGAAAATAAACAAACTAAACTTTAAATGTTTATAAAAACCTCGTACATAAAATTTGATAAATTATTGAATGTTTTGTTGGAATATATATCGAAGAACTGAATTATTTCAATAATTATGAAAACTAAATATCTTTAAGAAAGACTTTATAATTTGTGATATGCCGAAAAGTCACGGTTCTGTGCTATCAATCAGACTTCATCGCGAATTCCAAAATAACAATGACTGCGGTTACGAAACTACATTAATTTTCGACGTTAACTTTCGCAGATACGAAACATTTGCCAATTTGCTTAACGACTGTGTGCTTTCTTTTTCATACTCTAAGGAAACTGAAGAACTTGAAGCTGTACTCAGAGTAAATGGTACTAGTTTCGTGGCTCTCGGATGGAGACCTATGGGAATAAAAAGTGGTTGTAAGGCGTTTCCTTTTGTTAGCAATCATCGAGCATCTGAAGCAGGAAGGAAAACAGACGTTGTAAATCTGGAGGATGGAAGAACAACAACTAAAGATAATAAATGGGTTCTCCAGTTTGGTACTGAAGAAACACACAAGAGCGACGTAAATGAACCTGTAGCAGAAGAAATCCCTAAATCAACATCTAGAATGGAAGAGATAGTCGAGACAAATACACGTGGAGCTCAGAAAACTCAAGACAGAACAGACCAGGACACAGCTAAAGGCATGAAACCTTCAGATACAGAGACTGAAGATATAAAAACCGAGAAAGTTCCTGTTGCACCGACAGTTACCTCAAAATATTCTCCAGAAATATATGACTTTGTTGACCGCACGAGGCTTAGAATAGGAGATCCTCCTATATACCCCTTATCAACAAAAGCCTTTGGCGGATCACCTTATTACTTCTCACCTTCACAACTGTCGTTCAGTGATCAGTCTTTTGGTTTCCCAACATCCAGAAACTTCGCTCATCAACCATCAAAGAACGTGAAACATATTTTTGATAGCAATGGTAACGTAATAGGCATCACACTTTCAGAAACCCCAGGCACACATAGTCTTTATTCTGGAGGTAAGTTCAGACAGGAGGCTGGACATCCCTTTGAATCCATTTTCAACGCACGCAGTTTTTCTCCTGGTGGTCGCTTCATACGGGAAGTTAAACAGCCGTTTGAATCCGGGGCATCTGTAGAGCCAGAAGTTTCGGCAGAACCTTCAAAGTCAAATCAGTCTGAAAGCTCTAATGCGTATCCCCAGGTAACCGCATACACCCCTCGTCACGACTTCCATCCTATGGACTGCACAGATATTGTAATCGGAGTCGTTCGGGAAGGAGCTAATCGTATTTTAGACTATTACACTCGTGACAGGTCAACACCACGAGTTGACTCTTATTATGGTGGAACAGACGACTTAACTGCTGCAGTAGGTGAAGAAGAGAATGGCGTAACCACCATTTTGTTCCGGAAAAAATTAAAAGGTAGAGTGAAAAACTTACTTCCTAAATATTTGTTATCCCATTTCTCCAGTACATCAAGGATAGAATGGCGTAACCACCATTTTTCTGGAAAAAGTTAAAAGGTAGAGTAAAAAACTGACTTCCTAAATACTTGTTTTCCCATTTCTCCAGTAGGTCAAGGATAGAATGGTAACCACCATTTTGTTCCGAAAAACGTTAAAAGGTAGAGTAAAAAACTTCCTAAATACTTGTTTTCCCATTTCTCCAGTAGATCAAGGATAGAATGGCATAACCACCATTTTGTTCCGGAAACAATTAAAAGGTAGAGTGAAAAACTTGCTTCCTAAATACTTGTTTTCCCATTTCTCCAGTAGATCAAGGATAGAATGGCGTAACCACCATTTTGTTCCGAAAAACGTTAAAAGGTAAAGTGAAAAACTTACTTCCTAAATACTTGTTTTCCCATTCCTCCAGCAGATCAAGGATAGAATGGCGTAACTACTATTTTGTTCCGGAAAAAATTAAAAGGTAGAGTGAAAAACTTACTTCCTAAATACTTGTTATCCCATTTCTCCAGTACATCATGGATGGAATTGCGCAACCATTTTGTTCTGGAAAAAAAGTTAAAAGGTAGAGTAAAAACTGACTTCCTAAATACTTGTTTTCCCATTTCTCCAGTAGATCAAGGATAGAATGGCGTAACCACCATTTTGTTCCGAAAAAAGTTAAAAGGTAGAGTAAAAAACTTACTTCCTAAATACTTGCTTTCCCATTTCTCCAGTAGATCAAGGATAGAATGGCGTAATCACCATATTGGTTTGGAAAAAGTTAAAAGGTAGAGTGAAAAACTTACTTCCTAAATACTTGTTTTCCCATTTTCCCAGCAGATCAATGAGAGAATGGTGTAACCGCCATTTTGTTCCGGAAAAACATTTACAAATATTTTCACATTATCCTAGAAGTAACTGAGTCATGATGACTCTTATGGTATGTAACTCTGACATTACTGCAGTATGTATACGTTTGCTTAGTTTAGTTCTTTGAAAAGTGAGAAGGTTTATGACATTTCAAGTTTTATAACTCACAATATTTTATACCCATGTGGGTCGTAAAATGAATGTAAGTTGTAAAGTAATGGGTTATCTAGGGCGATGGTTTTCCAATCCTTTCAGCCTGTGTACCATTTGCCAAACTTGTTATTAATGTCCTTATAGGGTTTGGTTAAGAACCACATCCTAGATAAGATCAGCCCGGTTAGGATGGCCCCCCAGTGGCACAGAGGTATGTCTGTGGACTTACTACGCTAGAATCCTGGTTTCGATACCCGTTTTGGGCAGAGCACAGATAGCCCATTGTGTAGCCTTGTGCTACAAATAAATAAACCGGTTAGGATGAGATAAATAAATATCATATCTGTAAATACTCTTTGTTGTTTTATTACAGGAAAGAATGTTAAAAAATTAATACGAACAATATTTTTATCTCGCACTTTTTTTATTAATTTTTTTTAACAAGCGTTTTGCGTATCCATTTTCGACATCTTCCTGTACCATCGGTTGTAAATTGCTAATTTAGGGTTAAAGTCATTATTTGTAGCTTCTACAATGACAAGAATTTGATTGGATGAAAGATATTTTATGTGAAAACTCATAAGATGACCAGCTGAAAGCTGTAATTCATAATTCAGATTGTCACCCAGTAGACCTTGTAATTCACGATTCAGATTGTCACCCAGTAGACCTTGTAATTCATAATTCAGATTGTCACCCAGTAGACCTTGTAATTCACAATTCAGATTGTCGCCTCGTAGAACTTTATATGGCTTTAGGGGCCATATGTGTTGAAGTGTTCGACCAACAAATAATGATAATATTCCAATGTACCTTTTCTAGCAAAAGAACTCACTGACCACACCATAGAGAACAGTTTAATGAACGTCATCTGGGCCAGAGGTCAAGAACCTGGAATGTATATCCACCGACCTAAAACAGGGCTTGAAAGTGGAAATGCAAAGATAAAAGATTTCTACCGGCCTGATGAACTGAAATATCACGGACACGGAGAGCAGCGAGGGAAGACTACCATGAATTTCTTTGGTAGGTACAGAAGAAAAGTCACTCTGAGTACTTTCGACTATGTTTTTAATATGTGTGTGGCCTAGAAGTAAGCATGCCAGGACTTTGAATCAGAGAATTCTTGGTTCACGTCCCGCTACCAAAAAACGCGCTTCGCACTTTGGGGCCGTGGGCTCGCTGTAAGGTTTACGGTAAAATGCGAAGGTCACTACTGCTTTTTGTTAACAATAGAGTAACCCAAGAGTTGGCGGCGGGTGGTGTTGACTAGCGGCCTTCTTTCTACTTTATCACTTCTAAATTAGGAACGGCTGATGCAAATAGATAAAGAGGATGACAGATAAATAAATAAATATCTTCGTCAGGTGATTTTCAAATCTGATTTCTGGCTGTACATGACCTATTAGCGTACTGGAACTGTGAATCCGAGACTTCACGGTTTGCGAACCGTAGCAACAGAAATGTGCTTTGGGTCGCGGGTGCGCTATAAGTGTGACTGTCAAATCCTACTATTAGATCGCACAGTAGATGCCCAAGAGTTGGCGGTGGGTGCTGATGACTAGTTGTCTTCAAACTTACGGGCGAATATGCGCAGATACCCCTGTGTAGCTTTTCGTGAAGTTCTGAAACAAACGAACAACATCCTGTTATTAGTAACTTTCACTGTTCTCGTAAATGTTAGAAGTTATTAATTGCTATGCCTCGTCACGAACATTCTGCACTGATCTTCAGACAATGAACATCGTTAACAAACCACTATTAATATCTAGGTTTAAGGCCATCGTCACGGATATTCTGCACTGATCGTCAGGTCACGAACATCATTAACAAACCGATATTTATACCTTGGTTTAAGGCTCTCGTCACGGACATTCTGCACTTATCGTCAGACAATGAACATCGTTAACAAACCACTATTAATATCTAGGTTTAAGGCCATCGTCACGGATATTCTGCACTTATCGTCAGACAATGAACATCAAACGTCATTAAAAAATAAATTTAAGCATACGTTTAAGGCGTAAATGGAGCTAATTTATGGCTTCTGTGTTTCACCGCTTATTAATTCCGTTGTTCGATGTTTAGATATTTTCGATAGCCTGACTTTTTTTCGGGACAAAAATAAGACACTCGCAAGAATGTTACTACAGGAAATACATTCGTAAGGATGTTATAAAAATTAACACACTTACAAGAATGATGTACAAAATAAGACACTCATAAGAATGTTACTACAAAAAATACATTCACAAGAATGTTATAAAATTTAACATTACTTACAAGAATGATGCACAAAATAAGACGTTCAGAAGAATGTTACTACAAAAAATACTCTCACAAGAATATTACAAAAATTAACACACTCGTAAAAATGATGCGCAAAATAAGACACTCACAAGAATGTTAATGCAATAAATACACTCACAAGAATGTTAATGCAAACAATACACTCACCAGAATGTTACAAAAATTAACAAACTTACAAGAATAATGAACAAAATAAGACACTCACAAGAATGTTAATGCAAACAATACACTCACAAGAATGTTAGCAAAAATTAACAAACTTACAAGAATAATGAACAAAATAAGGCACTCGCTATAATGTTACTACAAAAAATACATTCACAACAATGTTACAAAAATTAACACACTCGCAATAATGGGAAAAAATAATACATTTTAGTTACTACAAAAAATACACTCACAAGAATATTACTACAAAAAATACACTCACAAGAATGTTACTACAAAAAAGACACTCACAAGAATGTTACAAAAATTAACACACTCATAAGAATGACGCACAAAATAAGACACAATAATGTTAATGCAAATAATACACTCACAAGAATGTTACAAAAATTAAGACACTTGCAAGAATGATGTACAAAATAAGACATTCACAAGAATGTTACAAAATTTAACATACTTACAAGAATGATGTACGAAAAATACACTCACAAGAATTTTAAAAAAATTAACACACTTACAAGAATGATGCACAAAATAAGACACTCAAGAATGTTACTACAGAAAATACATTCATAAGAATGTTACAAAATTAACACACTCATAAGAATAATGCACAAAATAAGACACTCACAAGAATGTTACTACAGGAAATACATTCGTAAGGATGTTATAAAAATTAACACACTTACAAGAATGATGTACAAAATAAGACACTCATAAGAATGTTACTACAAAAAATACATTCACAAGAATGTTATAAAATTTAACATACTTACAAAAATGATGTACGTTCATATTCAGAATAAAGCGCATCTAGCCCTTGTATAGTCAAATGCAAAATAAGGGAAGGCTATCGCATCTAGCCCTTGTGTAGTTTTGATCGAATATCCAAAACAAAAACAAACGAAACAAACCCATAGACACCAAGTAGAAAACCCTAAACCCTACCTCACAGGCGTTGAACATCCAGTAAAAATAATATATTAATAGTGCTAATTACCAATAATGGGTTTTGGTATATTAAAAGCCCTGTTTTTTTTGTTTTTTTTAACTGAAAACATCATTATTTGCAGCCATTCGTTGGGCTACCCTTTCTAACGTTGGTTTTCTCTGGCTTATTTTGCAGAATCTCCAGTCAAATCCACGATGGTAGATTTGAGCAAATATTCTCGTAAAGAATTATCAGATGACTACGTTATTTACTGGAGAATTATTCAGGTAAGTCAGTCTAACACTCACAAGAAGGATGCATAAAATAAGACACTCGCAAGAATGTTACAAAAATTAACACACTCATAAGAATGTGCTTAACTTCAAACAAACAAACATTATTATTAACAATGACTGTTTTTGCGTATCATAGATATATTGGTTCTTATGTTAAGTGAAATGCTATGACGTTTTTCGTATACTCTCGAATTGCAGACGAGTGCTGGTCAGACAGTGATTGTGGTACTCATGGAAAGTGTATCAATGTTGATAGTACAACATTCCCCAAACTGCAATGCTTCTGTCAAACAGGGTGGTTTGGAGAGAAATGCAACACTGGTAAATATATCCTTGAATGTTTTTTTTCTTGTTTATTCTTAAGGTTAATTGTCGAATTATTTCGAAGAAGTAAACTGTACGATAATTTATGAGTGTACTTTTTTTTTCTTTTATTAACGACGTTTCGAGTTATTTCGAAGAAATTAGTTAGCTGGTAATTTATTAATAGTTTTTTTTACCCTCTTTCTCGAAGTATCAATTTTATATATTTGAGCTAAAAACCAACAGAAACAATTAATAAATAGTCTAGCTAAGGCACTTAGTATTAAAATGTAGCCAATAATATTAAATATTAAAAATTAATTAAATATCGCGGTCAGAAGGTGTAACGTCGCTTTTTTTCAGTTTGTTACGGATTTCGCGCAAAGCTACACGAGGGCTATCTGCGCTGGCCGTCCCTAATTTAGCAGTGTAAGACTAGAGGGAAGGCAGCTAGTCATCACTACCCACCGCCAACTTTTGGACTATTTTTTTTACAAACGAATAGTGGGATTGGTCTTCACATATAATACCCCCACGGCTGAAAGGGCGAGCATGTTTGGTGTGACGGGGATTCGAACCTGCGACCCGCAAATTGCGAGTTGAGTTCCCTAACCACCTGGCCATGCCGGGCCTCGCTTTTTTCTAAACGGAATTAAGCGGTCTTGGCACCAGTTTTTTAACATTCAATTAAGCAGTCTTGGCAACAGTTTTAACATTCAATTAAGCAGTCTTGGCAACAGTTTTAACATTCAATTAAGCGGTCTTGGCACCAGTTTTTAACATTCCAGAGTAAGACGTGGGCCAACATGTCCTAGTGTTGTTAGCGTGCCAGACTGTGGCTCCGAGGCTCCATGGTTTACGTCTCGCTACCGAAAAAAGAGATCGCGCTCCTCATTCTGAGGCCGTGGTGCGTTATAAAAGTGACAGTCAAATCCCACTATTCGATTAGAGTATCCTAAGAATTGCTGTTGACTAGCCGTCTTATCTCTAGTATATACAATAATAAACATAAATTTGTTTAGATTGATATTAGTCAATAAGTACAACCTTAATAAAGTTGGAAGAAAGCAAAGTGCAAATATAACATGATCGTAACAAAGTGGTGTCGAAATGATCAACAACACTTACAAGTGCAAGCAAGTATATTATATTAATTTATAAAGGATAAACATTTTTTAAGTGAACATATAACAGCGAGTTCCCGTATTGATTCTAGATAAATCTTTAACCCTTTTTTTTAGATTTTTAAGATTTAAATTATTACTAATGTTGTGTAACTTTGATAATCAGTAGCACATAGATTTAGAACTAAGTTCCTTTTCTTATTGACAACATATTACTTTCTTCATTCGCCTTTCTCTCGGTACATTTATTCTCTCTCACATTTCCCGGGCTTTTTTCTTCCTTTCGTTGAATTTCTATCTTTTACATTTTTTTCCATACCCATGCAAATAGGCCCCTTTCTTTCCAATTTTACACACTTGTTTTCCATAATTAGGATTATAACGTTTTATAATAATAGTGGGTTCCGTAATTTCTACACCAGCTAAACAAGAAAGGTGGCCGCCCCTTCCAATAATTTTCTAACGACATAGAGCAGCGTAAATCCTTAGGGACTGACCAAAAACCAGCCACTCTTTCAACCTCAATCAATGCTCCTTACACTTAACTTCGTAACAGTAACTGCGATCAGATTACAACAATGCCTTATAAGTTTACTTAAGTTGTGTTCGTTTGTTAGTTTGTAAGTAGGAAGGTGCACAAGCACAGTTGTAGCTTTTTAAGTCCTCCAGTTTATCACTGAACTACCGGGGAAGAGTGTGTGTGTGCTTGTGTGCTCTTAACTGTAAGAAAACTAAGGTTGTTCTAATTTATTATATACATTTCTGAATGTAACATAATTTCTCTTTTCTAAACGTTTAATATTGCCTTTAATTTTCTACGTGTAATAAAAGGTGTAAATACAAGAATAATGGTGCGATTGGAGTAGTATCTGCACCAAAAATAAAACTGTAACGGACAAAGAAGCTCACCTAGATTGTTACAACACAGGAGAGTTTAAAGATGCGTTTCACAAAAATCTGCCCTCCCCCAGTGGCACAGCGGTACGTCTGCGGACTTACAACGCTAGAAACCGGGTTTTGATACCCGTGGTGGGCAGAGCACAGATAGCCCATTGTGTAGCTTTGTGCATAGTTAAAAACAAAAACCAAACAAAACACAAAAATCTGTTTTTCGCAGAGCTTCATTCCAATTGTAATTATTACACAATTTCGTAAATGTTTGTTTGTAATTAAGCACAAAGCTACACAATGGGCTATCTGTGCTCTGCCCACCACGGGTATCGAAACCCGGTTTCGACGTTGTAAGTCCGAAGACATACCGCTGTGCCACTGGGGGGCTTCGTAAAGTTAATCGTCTATATCCCTGAGGTT